GAGAAGAAGAAGAAGCAATAATACGCTTCCATCTTCCTCCAAATTGTATTAGGACTTTCTTTCATGTTCGTACTTTCTCACATTTTTTCTAATATTTTTGCCCTGAATAGACTTTCTTTCTCTGCTTTTAATATCCACCACTTGATTTTTAATGGCTCTCTCCAATATGTTGGTTTCTTCGATGTCCAACAAAAGCAGTTTATGTTGTTAACTCACTGTCTCACTTACTATTACTTTGTACTCCTTATACTCATGTATATCTTCTTTTCTTTTCATGAAATCATCTATGTGGGAGTCCACTTTTGTACGCACTAATATTTTAGCCTCAAAATAAGCTAAAATATTGCTAATTTGTAAGATAGCATTGACTGAAACTTATGAAATGTCAAAAAAAATAAGGTATTTGAAGAAATGAACTGGTTAAAAATAAAAAGGGTATGAGATAAAAATGATAGTATTTTTTATTAACCAAATATCGTGAGTAGGGCCAAGAAAATAACTGTATGAGGCATTATTTTCGATAAACAATAAATAAGATGCTGATCATTAGATTAACAATAAATAATGTGTAAAAGTGAGGACAGATCCTTCTAATTTCTACATAGTATACAATGTCATTTGTTTTTAGTAAAGTTCTTCAGTTCATCTTCATCTGTCAGAAGCTCTTTTACAGTTTTCTTCTAATTCTCTCAACACCGGGAAGGGAGGGAGTGTAGACGTCATCGTGAGGTCGTGTATTGTCCGTCTCCAAACATCTCTGTCTCTGGCCATTTCTTTTAGCTCATGCATAATTCTTCAATTAGGTTGATCTATCTTGTTGGGATCTTCCTCGTGATCTTTGGCCTTCTTACTAATTTTTAATTAGGTCTTATATTATATTAGGCCTTAACCACTGCAGTGGTGCTGCAAAGGTGCCACCTGCTTTGGCGGACATAAACGGTACCAAAACAGGTGGCACCTCTGTGCGCTAACCACTACGGTGTTCAAGTTCTTGGAGACATTCGTTAGACTTTCTGAGTTTGAATTTGTATCAGCCCGAGTGTCTGATGAAGCAGGGATATGTTGAAATGAGTCATAACACTATATTCATACCGATTCTGGCACGGGAAGTTTAAGAAATTTGACCTCATAGGCCATATATTTGACCAATTAATTCAAAAAAGCAATAGCACCTTTTATTTTATTTTGACTAAAAGATTTTATTTCCTAGCAGAAACATATTGCTTCACGAAGTGTGTCCAGCAAACTCTATTTCTCACTAGTGCTGGATTTTTCAAGTTAATGATTTTTCCTGTTGTCCAGTACTGTGCTTTTCCAAGTTTTGTTTTAAGGTCCGCCTACTTTCCATCGGCCTTAAGAATTCCAGTGTCATCTGAGGTCTGTGTGTGGTCCAGCTATCTCCATTTTCTTCGCCATATTTGCTTTATGGCATTGTCTTGGTTGGTTTGGTTCCATAAATTCTTATTCGAGATTCGATTAGGCCAAAATATACGAAGGATTTTTCGTAACGTTCTATTGATCTACTTAAAACTAGAAGTAAAATTTAATTTGTGTACTATAGGTGCTGATATCTTTCACTTCACGTTTTACAGCCATATAGTAATACAGCTTTTACATTTGTGAAGATTTTTAATTTCATTTTAGTTGGGTAAATCCTGGATTTTCATATTACCTGGTACATCATGCTGTGTACTACCGCTACAATCAATTGTGCTACCCAAATATGCAAATTCCACTACTCTCTCAATTTTATGATTGTTGACCACTATAGGTTGATGTTTCTAATGCTATATTACGTTCTTTGGCTTTTTTTTTTTCTGGTATGTTGTATGTGCTAAGGCATATATCATCGGCGTTATCTAGATCTTTCAGTCTGTTTGTTAATACCCAGTAAATTTCTCTATTAGAAAAACAGGGTTGTAGAGATACATTTTAGACTTACAATCTATTTTATTAAACTAGGAGGACCGGTTTCGATCACTACAATTTTCAGGTCATCATCAAATCTCCGTTCAGGTTAAATTAAAACGCTAAAACAATTACAAATCGTAACTAAAAGAGTTCTATTAGGTATGCTGCAAATATTACTTACAGTTAATTGAAATCTCTGGTCTCCTCAAGACACATTCCTCATATTTCGATGTATAATGAAGTGGAAAATCAATAAACAACGTTATAGCATAAATGAACGTTCAGTACATACCTTTCTAACAATAATGCTTGCACAGGCATGTAAGCACTATTTATACACTCTCTCAAACCATACGTAAGTAATATTGGCACTATTTGCAACATATCTGAGAGAACTCTTAGTTATGATTTGTAATTGTTTTAGCGTTTTAATTTAACTGTCTGGAGACCTTTCAGAAAATTGTAATGGTCGAAACCGGTCGTCCTAGGTTTAATAAAATAGATTGTCAGTAAGTCTAAAATTTATTTCAACAACTCTGTTTGAAACGGACTCAGATCTGCATGCCATTCATAATTTAATCTATTTATTGTTCTGAAGCTATTTTCTTGTGGCATTGTAAATTAATTACTATTAAACTGGGAATAAGCCACAATTAAAGATAAAAATACGTTTATTGACGTTTCAATTTCCACTCGGAAATCGTTCTCAAAATACAAACAGTAAATTAAACAAATTTGTTTTTTGTTACATAGTGAAAAATTCTTCTAATAATTTAATTTTATCTGACTCATTTATATTGACAATTCAGACATACATTATGCATTTTAAAGTAGACGACTTTAAAATGATATTGCCAATATTGTTGAGTTGCGCTCCTGGAACGACTTTACTTATAAGATAGTTCATTCGATTACATGAAATCAACTTTAACTTGAGAATATCCGTCAGAAAAAATCATAGCATGTAATTCGTCTTTAAAAAGACAAACACATGAAATGATGACAGTAAAATTCTCCTGTTAGTGATTCCATAGTAAATTATGAGGGAAAAACCAGAAAAAAACTTCATAATACTATCCGACATTGTAAGTATTTGTTCGTGAATTTAGTTACCTTCAACAAACATCAAAATTCTGATTTATATGTTACGTTATTTAAAAACATAAATGATGTATCCTCTATATGTTACTGACTTACTAATACTGGTATTTTCTTATCATTAACTTCCTCTTTCAATATTGGTAACCAGATCCTACTACATTCTGCCGAGGAATTTGCGACACAATTGGCCTCATTTTAGCATAATTAGAGCCGCTTCTTTGATTTTTCTTTTTTTTACCATCCGTTTCTTTTAGGACTACATTTGAATTATTCCATTGAACCCTATGTTCATTATCCCATGCGTGTTTACAGATTTGAGATCTATCAAATTCTCTATTTTTAATATAAGATTGATGTTCACTTATTCTAATATTTAATTAAAGGACAAAGAATTGCATTTATAAAATACCTTGTCAATGCGATCAGTTTTATTTAGGTGAATCATCAAGGCCATTAAATGTTATTCTCCGTTGATTTTTATTCCTTCTTCAATATTTTCGAGGGCATTTTGAAAGATCTTTTCGGAATATATATTAAATAACAGCGGAGAAAGTACACAGCCCTGTCGAACTCCTCTTTTTTATGGGCAATTCTGCTGTCAGACGATTTTTCTATTTTGATCGACGCCATTTGATCCCAAAATAGTTTTTTAATGAGTGCTACAGTGTTATGTCTATACCTTGTTGTGTTAGGGTTTCTATGAGTTCTGTGTGTTTTACTCGATCAAACACTTTTTCGTGGTCGATAAAACAGAGAAACACGTCTTTTCGCTGATCTCAGCATTTTTGTAGTAATATCTGGAGGCCAAATAGTGCCTCCCTTGTACAAAGCCCTATACGAAATCCAAATTGATTGTCGCTCAGGTTTCTTTCGCATTCTCTGTATATTCGTTGATGTACAATTTTGAGTAAAATTTTCAGAAAATGGTTCATCAGGCTAATTAATCTGAACTGTGACCATCTATTTGCTTTATTTTTCTTGGGTATACGTATAAATGTCGATCTAAGCCAGTCTATTAGGAAGATTCCAGTGGTATATATTTTGTTAAATAATATTGTTAACGTCTGAAGATTTTCTTCATTGATAAGCTTATCATCTCTACGTATATTTCATCTGGACCTGAGGCTTTCGTGGCTTTGCCGTATTGATTGTTTTTGTAACTTCCGATGTTAATATATCAAGTATTGTTTCTTGTACTATATTCATTTGTGGTTCTGTTCTCTCGTCATCAAACAGATCTTCGATGTATTTTTTTCACATATCTCCTACATTTTCTGGACTAGATACTATTTCGTTGTTATCATCTACTAAAGTTGTTGTAGTGATTTTTTTCTTCATATTTGTGACTTCCTTAATCTTTTTGTATGCATTAAAGTAGTCAGAAGAAGTCTACAAAGCATATATTATGAGTGGGATTCCTGCGACTGTTCAACTATTTGTTGTGTGTAAAGTACTTTAATTTGGTCTATGCATGATCGGTTTGGTTTGAAGTCAGCTTGTTCCTTCCTTAATATTGGTTCCACACTATCTATCAATCCGTTGTTTATAATTATTCCTATTAATTTATTTATGGTATATTTTCGTTTAATTTTGACCTACATCATTATGCTAAGTGCTTCTTGAAACTGTTGTCTATTAATAAAAAAAGCCTTTATCGAAAATTGTCTGCTCCATTTATATTTTTGGTATGTTTTATTAGTCATGATACGGGTCTGACATGAATTGGCAAATGATAGACTGCCAAATAGTTTTATTCACTCTTTTTCGGATATGTTGAATATAAAACTGTTTTTAGATTTAATTTTATAATCCTCAATTTGAGCTCCTTTTCGAAAAAACCTACCTCTGCGCACTTGTTTATTATCACATTTACTGCATTTTTAACCATCTGGAAATTTATCTTTATTCAAAAATATTATTAGACATGATATTTATGAGTTTTGAAGACTGAGAAATCAAAAGTTTTTAATACATATTTTCTTTTTTAGAATAACCAACGAAGTAGCAGTGATATCACTTTTAAAGACGAAGACTCTGCGATCGAGGGCAGTGGATATAATGGAGAGGTGACGCACGACCTGGAATCAAGTGGTTCTGGTTTTGGACCAGATGACGAAGATGATCATGATAACGATAAGCAGGATAGAATAATAGGTTCGATATAGTTTCTTAATATATTACAATATCTAATTTCAAGAATTTGTTTTATATGTGGGGTAATTAATGATTGTTTTAGAACCAAAAATAAATCAACCTCCAGAACCAAGTTTCCCTAGAAACATACCGGAACTGGAAACTGAGAAAGACAAAGACAAAGAAACTAAAGGTTCGCCTAACACTACGTTGGATCCAACTGTCAGAATGAATTCAAATGATCGCCCCACTTCGTTCTTTACACAACCCGGCATGATGGCTGGTAAGTTTGACTATATATGTATATCTTCTATAATTTAATGATAAATGTATGTAATTTAATAAGAGTATAGAAATGGCTGTCTTACATAGGGGAGAATTAAAGAGATTAGGATTTATAACTACTGAAATTTTCACAAATATATATAGGGAAATATAATATATTTCACAAAGAATGGCTAATATAGTAGGATTTCTAAACGGGGCTCTTGAGGCCCTGTCTTGAGGTCATTCAATTTGAGTTCGCATCCTCCTTGGTTTAATTTTCTGACCGCGATAAGTGCATGGAACGAGAACTAGCACTGATCGGTCGGAGCGGACTCATCTGGTTCACAGATGGGTCAGAATAGACCAGTCGGCAGGTGCTGGAATATACAGTAGTGGAATCGGTTTTGAGTTTAGCCAGGCTCTCGGCTCGCATACATCAGTCTTTCAGGCCGAGATATTTACAATCCTGGTATGTTCTCACGAGATAAAAGATAGGGCTTACTCAGGCAGAACCATCTCTGTCTGCTCTGACAGTGAAGCAGCGCTAACAGCTTTGGAAGCGCCCAAAACCTAGGTCAGTTGTGGAGGTATGAGACAGGCTAGAGTTGCAGCCTAACTTCTCCTTCTACACCTAGGATGCTCTCTGGTGATCAGTATGCATACTGGCTACTGTAGACTCAGGCGACATCTCATCTGCTTGGATTGGTGGATGACCCACAGTGCCTTCTATGTGATAAGAAGAAAACCTCCTCACATGACCTCTGGAAGTGCCGGACATTGGCCTATCAGAGGTAGCAGATACTGGGTTCGGCCTTTATGTAACCGAGCCAAATTAGAGAGTTACCCATTAAGAGACATGTGACTTTCTGTGAGTTCACAAGACTACTAAAGGATTAGACGTTCGGAACGGCCTGAAGAGCTCAGATTAGGAGCTTCTAGCAGATATGGGAGCCCAGAACAGCCTGGACCCCAGAAACGCCGGAGACCAGGTTCATGTGGACCTAGTCCATATTATAGTAGCGATACAATGGACCCGCCTTAGGACGTCTAAGTGTCTGAAGGGCTCGGGCCCTGTCCCGATCTGCCATAACCAACATATTTTTCTTGGTAACAAATAAAAAAAGTTTCAAGTAAATTATTCATTTAGAAATACCTAATTAAGTTTCATATCATAATTGAAAAGCTGATGAAGAATGCTGCGATGCTACGTATTCTGTGTCCTTTTTTATGGTGTTGAATCGTGGACCTTGAACGAAGATAGGAAGCTGGAAAGGAAAAACTGGAAGCATTTGAGATATGGCAATATCGGAGAATACTTAAGATCCCATGGACTGACCGAATCACAAATGGGGAGGTACTCAGAAGAATGAATAATAACCGAGAGGTACTGACCACTATTAAATCTCGAAAGTTACAATTCTTCGGACATACTATGCGAAATGAATCCAGATATGCTCTTCTACAAGCCATCCTGCAAGGAAAAATATTTGGAAGCGAGGTCCAGGAAGAAGAAGAACACCTTGGTTAAAGAACCTCAGAATCTGGTTCAATACAACATCTAGGCAGCTTTTCCGCGCTGCTGCAGATAAGATAAAGATTGCCATGATGATAGTTAACATTCGTCGTAAGGATAGGCACATCAAAAAGAAGAAGAACCCTTTACTGCCCTGTGCGTCGATAAGACTTACACGTAGTATCATCAATTTTTGCTTTGTGTTATCAGTTGCCCTGGCGTAGTAGAACTTACACTAGAAATGGCTTGTAAAAATAAAAATATATTCAATAAAAAAATTTATTTTACATTTTTCTCACAAAAAGGAATAAGCAAAGTTAACGAAAAAACAAAGGAAATAAATGTAGTCAAGCAATTTTGTGAATAGTTTTAAAACCAATCTTGGCACATATGTGGTTTTTCGGGACATCCAGGGCATATATATCGAACGGTCTTGGCCATTTTTAGCGCATAATTTCTACCTTGCTCTCGAGAGTATCTAGTATAGCAGCTCTTACAGGGACTTCTAATGACTGCCCCCTTTCTCCGTCACTTCTAGTTTATGTCTGTTGCTGGAATATATATACATTCGGTTTATAACGTCTTACGACGTTGTGCGACTCCCAACCGCCACTGTATTCGGTCTTGAGTTAGGTCTTCGTCCAGATTTCGAGCGCTAATCGCTTTCCTAACTCCCAGGTTCCAGCTCTGTGGTGGTCTTCCTCGTTTCCTCTTCTCTGGGGGTTGCCACATCATCGTTTTTTTTAGGCAATCTTTCGTCAACCATTCGGCTCACATGTCCATACCATATGAGCTGTTTTCTCTCAATATCCTCAACTATAGTGCCCTCTATACCCATTTGTTGTTTTATCACTTCATTCCGTATTCTTTCGGCTCTTGATATTCTCATCGATCTTCTGATGGCATCCATTTTCCGTGGCTTCGACCTTTTTCTTATATTTCTCGGTTATTCTCCATGTCTCAGCTCCATAAAGTAGGCTAGTTTTAACCATTGTCTCATAGATGTTCCATTTTCTTTTCTTTGATATTTCTTTACTCCATAGAACTCCGTTCAA